GGGGGGCGGGGGGGGGGGCGCCCGCCGGGCCATCGCTGGGGTGGGCCCAGGTGGCCAAGCACCACTGTCCCGCTGCTCAGCCCCAAAACTGCTGCTCTCCACCCCAGGGGAGCGTCACCAAGTGGCACGGGGCAGGAGAGGCCGGAGCGCTGGGGTTATTTTTACAGATTGCAAAAAAGGGAGGAAATAACTGAGCTGTTTCTTGGATAACAGACGGAAAAGTCCCAGCCCACCATGAGGCTGAGTTCAAGCCCAGTGACCCGGGGCCGCCCTGTCCCAGCGAGCGGGTTGGTGACTCACCTCCGGTCTGGCCTCCCAGACTATTCTCATGCTGCTCGGGGCGCTGCCACCACCGACCGCATGTGGGGAAGGGAGGCAGGATTTGGGCAGCTCTGTCGGGATTTACCAGCCTCTGCCCCGCAGGCTGGGCAGGGCCCCAGAGCTGTTGCCTGGGGTTGTTTCCTCGCGGGCACGAGAGGAGCTGGACGGTGGTGGCTTGTCCCATCTGTCCTGTCTCATCCCATCCTATCTGTCCCGTCCTGTCCTGTCTTGTCCTGGCCTGTCTCATCTTGTTGTGTCTGGCCTGTCCTATCCCGTCTGGCCTGTCTGGCCTGTCCTGTTCCATCATATCTGTTCTGTCCCATCTGTCCTGTCCTGTTTGTCCTGTCCTGCCCTGTCCCATCCCATCATGCCTGTTCCATGCCATCCCATCTGTCCCATCCCATAATGTCTGTCCCATCCCATCTCTCCCATCCCACCTGTCCCATCCTTTCCTATCCCATCCTGTCATGTCTATCCTCTCATCTGTCCTGTCTCATCCCATCATATCTGTCCCAGTCCACCTGTCCTGGCCTGCCTGTCCCATCTCATCCTGTTCTGTTATACCTGTACCATCCCATCATGTCTCATCCTGTCCCGTCCTGTCCCTCCATCCCATCCCATCCTGTCTGTCCTATCCCATCCCATTGTCCTGTCCTGTTCTGCCAAGTCTGTCCTGTTTCGTCTCTCCCAGTCTGTCTGTCCCATCACATCTGTTGTGTCCTGTCATTCCTGTCCTGTCCTGTCCCAACTTGTCCCATACTATCTGATGCATCCCATCCTGTCCCGTCCCATCCCTCCATCCCATCCCTTCCCATCATGTCTGCCCTGTCCCATTGTGCCTGTCCCATCCCATCCTATCCTGTCCTGTCCTATCACATTCCATCCTGTCCCATCCTGTCCCTCCATTCCATCCCATTACGTTTGTCCTGTTCCCTCATGTCTGTCCTGCTCTATCCAACCCCATCTTGTCCCATCCCATCTCTCCATCCCATGCCATCATGTCTGCCCATCCCATCGTGTCCTGTCTCATCCTATCCCTCCATCCCATCCCATCATATCTATCCTGTCCCATCCTGTCCTATTCCATCCTGTCCCTCCATCCCATCCCATGCCCATTCCATCATGTCTGTCCTGTCTCATCTTGTCCTGTCTGTCCTGTCTCATCCAGTCTGTCCCATCCTGTCCCATCTTGTCCCATCCCATTCCTCCATCCCATCATGTCTGTCCTCTGTCCTGTCCCGTCATGTCTATCCTTTCCTGTCCTATCCCACCCTGTCCTGTCCTGTCCCATCCCATCTTGTCATGTCTGTCCCATAGGAGTGTTTGCACTGGTGGGTGTGTGTACACGTGCAGGTGTGTGTGCAGGTGTGCAGAGGGCTGTGCCTGCAGAGATGTGTGTAGGTGTGCAGACAGGTGTGCTCCTGAGGCAGGGGAAGCTTCTGGCCACGGTTCTTTGCCCGGCTCCCGGGGCAGGTGGGTGCGCCCGGGGCACGTAGACAGCGACAGGTGTCGGGCGCCACCGGGTGCGTCCCCTCACAGGCCTGATGGACGATGAGGACATCAAGCTCATGCTGAAGGGCTCGCTGCTCTGGAAGATCAAGTCGCCGCGGCGGGCCAAGGAGCGTCTGTACCGCTTGCAGGAGGACGGCATGACCATCTGGTTCGAGAGGCGCTTCCGGCGCCCTCACTCCAAGCAGATCTGTAAGTGCCAGTGGCCAGGGGCATCCCCTGGGAGCTCAGGGCTCCAGGTCCTGTCCCCACACTGCCTTGAACCGCAGGGAGGAGCTGGAAACCAGCTGGGGCCCTGAACCCGCCAGTGGGACCCAGAGCACGACCCGGGACAGAGCCCAGCCAGGGACCCTGGGCACTACCCAGGACCTAGGGTACAATCCGAGATCCTGGGCATGACCCGGGATCCTGATCGTGATCAAGGATCCTGGGCACAAACCTGGGACCCGGGGCACAAACCCCGGATCCTGGGCATAACCTGGGATCCTGGGCATGACCTGGGACCCAGGATATGACCCGAGATCCTGGGCACAACCTGGGACTTGAACCCCAGCCCAGGGCCCAGACCCCCCAGGCCTTGCAACCCACTCTGCTCTGCCCCCCCCTCCCCAAACCCCAGACCAGTGCCTCCCAGTGCAGCCGTGGCTGAACCCCCGGAGCA